AAAAAAAAAAAAAAAAAAAAAAAAAAAAAACACATCATGGTAAAATTAATACCTTCTCAGCTTCGCATCGAAGCTAAAAGTAATTCAAATAAAAGAAAAATAAACTAAATCAAGTTTAAATAAGATATCTCATCTAAAAATTTCTTTCTCATGTACTTTTAAAATATAATAAATAAAAAAAAAAATAGATGTGATCATTAAAAATAATAATAAATAGTATTAATTTGAAAAAATTCTGTCCAAACTATCAACTGGTACTGTTCAATATTGAATAAATAACAAATTAAGTTTCCGCATAAATTTATCAAAGATTTACTGAAATCACTCTAAGAAAAAATAATTATAGTTTTAAACTTTTATTGAATTTTTACATACTAATTTTTAATGTAATAAATATTACAAATTAATCCTAATTTTTTAAAAAACTTAACAAATATTTTACATCTAAAACTTTTATATGACTCCATACCTCTAAGTTTTGGGTTTTCACTCTTAATATCTGGTAAATATCGAATTCGACCACTCAGAGTCTTTACTAATCCCAATGTTCGACATTGTATAATGCAGTCAGTAAAAAATTTATTGATATCTGAAAAAGTACTTTTAAATTCTGATATTAATTTGTGGGCTTCATCCTCAGAAATATCTAAAGTTTCACTCAATGTAATTGCACCCATACCATACAGTATTCCATAACAAACTTGTTTAGTTTTTTGTCTCAGTTCATCACATACCTTTTAAAAATATATTCAGATAATTTTTATTAAAACACAGTATAATATTAAGAAATTTACTTCAGATTCAGGTATTTTATGCCATTTTGATGACATATGTACAAAAACATCTCCTGATGATTTTAATGATGATATTAATTTACTATCCTTAGATAAGTGAGCAAGTACACGAAGTTCTATCTGACAAAAGTCAACCGATACTAGTGTCCGATCTAAAAAAATATTAGTTTCAGTAATAAACAGTTGTAGTAATCATTATTTATAGATATACTTAGGCATATCTTAAAGAATAATTTTTTTAGAAAAAAATGAAAGGAATTTCTATAAATTAAAATTTGACAAATCAAAATTTTTAGAAACATAAAAATATAAATATATCATATCTAAAACAGCAAAATCTTAAATATACTTCTGACATAAATTTTTTTTTATTAAACAATATTTATGTATTTTTATTATAAAAAATACGTTCACATAAAAAATTTGAAGAGAATTATATTATTTTTATTTTTTACTTAAATTTTAGAAAATTTTCTAAATTTTATCAAACATTATAACAAACCTGATTTTGGTATAAATGATGAGCGAATACTTATTATTTCATTTTCAATTATATAGTCTTTTGGTAAATTTTGTAAGTTAGGTTCATGCATACTAATACGCCCTGTACTGGAATAAGTGTTGCTATCACAATAAACAGTATCTTTTGTCGTGGTTAAAAGAAAGTTTAAATGCTGCAATTAAAAAAAATTAATAAATAATAATCATGAAAACTTAATGCATTATTTATTAATATTTTATGCATATACATTGTTTCTAAGGCTACTTAGTTTTCTCCAATTTTTTATTAATTCCACCAGAGGATGTGAAGATGTATCAGTCAAATTTAAATTTCGTTTAACCTGTTAATATAAATTGAATAAAAATTGTTGAATATTAAAAATTTTATTGTGTTATTAAAATTTTATTAAAAAGTTGTATTACTTTAGCCCATTCTATTTTAGATTGCATGTTAAATTGGATTCCTGACAGTGAGCAAGCTTCTTTAGAAATATTATCCATGAGAGTATTTACAGTATTATGTAGTTTTGTTACTTCTTCTTTATTAACACTAAATCCGTGCAGTTCCATTTTTGCTAATATTATTTGGATAGGCATTTCAATATCTAAAATAGAACCAAATCAAAATTTAAAGACAATTATATCTTATGAGATAAAATGTATTTAAATTAATTACCTTTAAATGTTTTATAGATAAATATTTGCTTAAGCTGTCGTTTTAAAGATGACATTAATTTTTGAACAATAAATGCATTAAACACAGAATCATTTGATGGAATGCAGCCATTAAAATTTAAATGCCACTTGATCTATTAATAATAAAATAATTCTGTTAAAAAATTTTTCTATGAAAATGAAGAATATAAAAGCATATGTCACATGACCATTAAAAGGTCACTGGATTATCAAAACAAATTAGTTTTTGTTTTTTAATTATTTTCAATAATTTAGTAAGAAAACAAATTTTTTTGATATGAATTAATTTTTAACATGAAGAAAAAAATATAATTTATTTATTGACAAAATAGATAGTTAAAAATTATATCATATAATTACCAAACTTTCCAAAGAATTTTTTGGTTGACCACTTATAAGCCAATCAGCTACAGAAGGATCTCTAAATTTGCAAACAGAAATAATGCCGCAACACTGAGAAATCATTTTGTAGCTTGATTTAGCATCATATACATTAACAGTCAAATTTTTATTGGTTAACAATTTTCGAAGTAAACTTATTCCTGATGGTCCTTCAAACAATAAGCAAATAATAGTTTATAACTCACAGAAATTCACGTTAATTAGTAATAATAAAAAATAAAAAAACAACAACACACCAATTTTGTTGAGATCTGCATAATGCACTACTGTTTGTTTGTACCATGTAAGTGCAAATCCTTTTAAAACTTGGTTATCATACTTAAAAGAGTTGTGAATGCAATGTTCTACATTGAGCCTTAAAAACTTTGACCCAATTTTATTTTCAATATTAACTTCTTTACATATATTTAATGCAAGTGTGATTTCTTTTCTATATTTAATCTCTGGAAAATATTCTGAAGCAAATGCATCAATATTTTCTATAACTTTTGTTTTATATGCCCAAGTTTCTAATTTGATAGAATTAGCATTAGCATCTGGTTTCATAGGAGATTCCCTAAAATTTTTTTTGTTAATATAATAAAAAATAAATTTAAAAAATGTAAATCATACTTGCGAGGAGATGGCCCACTCGATACAGTATCTTGAGATCCAGCGATCATATCTTCAGAGTCAGAAATAACAAGATCATTACAAGTTCCATTAATTATTTTTGTTTTATCAGGACAGATTATAGTATTTGCCATTGAACTAAATGAATTTTGAAAAGCTTCTTTCATGATACTTTCACTCAAAGCTTCTTCTTTATTGACATTTATTTGTTTAGTCTTATCAGTATTTGTTACAACATTAGTAGTTATATTAAAAGAACTTTGAAATGCTGCATTTAATAAACTTTCACTCATTTCTTCATTTTTAATAAACATATTTTTGCTTTTATTATTTAAACTGTTTGCTTGGGTATCAATTGAGTTAGAAACTACTGGTATATTGTTATTTTTTTTGTCATCATAATTTATTAACATATCTAATTGAGTATCAATAATCAAAGAATCAGGAAACATAGTACTTTCAAACATATTACAACTTTTTGGAGAGATTTCTTCAACTTTTTTATACTTTGACGGTTGTTCAATCAAATTTTTATCAACTTCATTACTAACTATATCATGCTCCTCTCGTTTTCGTTTACGAGACCCTATATCTTTCTGAGATAATTCTAAAATACTTTCACCTCCAATATTGCAATCCCAAATTTCTTCATGTTCTTTTGGTGTTTTAATGTAAACTAGTTCTGTATGATAATAATTACCAATTGATTTTTCACAATTTATTTGATTATCTTTTTGGCTAGCATGTACTGTTAGACTGAATTTAGTGTGTTCAAATGATCCATCAAAGAGATCTAAACTTTCCCGTTTATAATCTTTGGATTTAATTTCTTCATGTTGAATGTTAACTATGCTATTTGTTTCTGGAAATAATTCAACACTGCTTTTTGATAATGAAGGTGGACTGTGAAAAGAATTTTGATCATTAAACTTTTCTGATTCTTGACTATTTTCAATAACAATTACATTTTTTGAAGTAGATGGACGAATTTTAATAGAATTTAAACTTTCATCTAACGTTTTATTGGCATTACAATCTTCTATCCAACATGCAGATTTTAACCCAAGTTCTCTCTGATAATAACATAAATTTAATAAAATGTACAACTATTAAAAAAAAATAAGCAAAAATATTACTTTTAAAAGATGACGAGCTTCATTTATTATAAATGTAGCTGCATCTTTTTCATTAAGAGCAAAGCGACCAGCTAACCAAATGTTTTTACGTTTTTCTTCATCATCCATATTATTGTTAGTATTACTAAAAAAGAAAAATGTCTATAAATATAATGGTTTCAAAAATTAAACAAGTTTCTTAAATTGGTTTACTTTTGATATGGAATAGCTTTAGCCAGAGCACGCTGAACATGTCGAATATCAGCTAATGCAAGTTCTGGAACATTATGTATTTCAGCATTATATATTGCTCGAGCTGTGATTGAATTTAAACAATCTAAACGTAGTAAATCCACTAGCTGCCTTTGAACACCAAACTGTAGCCTTTCTTCAAACTGAGATATTAATAACTCAAGAGATGACCAGCCAAGCCTCTTGCAAAATTGTGTTACCATTCCTAATTTTTAAAAAATAATTGATTAAATAAAATAAATCTTAATAAAATATTTAATCAAAATTAATATAAAAATAATTTATATTATTAACCTGCAAATGTAGAAGACGACTGTTGAAGACTTTGTAAAAGACCTTTAGAAGTGCAATATTTTGAAACTATAGTATTTATAGGTACTTCATTAATTAAATCATGAAGCAATAGAGATGTGTAAAATCGCCTATGAATTGCTAACTTATGTTTCTAAATATTGAATTAAATTAAAATTATTAAAGAACATATGATTTTAAAATTAATGTTAATTTAATAAAGTAACTTGCATCTGAAAGTGAATTAAATGTGGTACCAGTCATGGCTTTAACAATAAATCTCTCTTCTACTCCAACCATTTCACCAACTTTACGCAATGCCTGAGGTAATTTTTCCCATATATTCAACACTCGAAACCAATCTAAATTTCCAATTTGGTCACTAACAGAGTAAGGAGTTATCTAAAACAAAACTTTTTATGTTAAATATAATAACTTAATAATAAATAAAACAGTTAAAACTATTAATTAAAATACCTACCAAATACAGTAAATGCAATTCAGAATCAAGAACAAAATTTTGTCTAGCTCGATCTAACTCTTTGATTAACTTTAAACCAATGTCTGGTGTAACTGAAGCAGCCAAACATGCTTGCCCCAAACAAGTTGGTGCTAATTTATTTTGTGATTCTTGGACAAATTGGTGCTCTATCAACAGTTTTAAACACTGGTGTATTGGATTTTCATTGACTAAACAAAAACATTAACAAATAAATAAATTTACTTTTACACATTTATTAGAACTTACAATTATTTCCAGTAGAAGCATATAACAATGTACATTGCATATATTTTAATGCTTCCTCTTTAGAGTTCACAACACAACTGGCAACAACTTCTAAAAGTGCTCGTTTTAAACAATTAGAAAAATCTCCAACTCCTAAACAACTTTTAATAGGTGGAAGATCTTGACAAGCTAATTGTTCACCTATTCTCTTTTCATTTTCATTGCAGATCAAATAACTCTCTCCTTTAAGAAAATACATATTATTTTGTTTATATTCAATAAAATTGTACAAGAGAAATAATAATTTAAAAAAAAACATATTACAAAGTAATTTAAAAAATCAAGTAACTATTAAATTTTATTATTTTTTAAGAAGTGATATAAGAGTAACTATTGTACGTAAAGAAAATTCAGGGGATCGAGTATTACAGAAGGTGGAAATAATGGTAAAAAAAATAGTTGAAAAGATAGAAAAATATAAATATTTTAATAAGATTTCGATTTGAAAAAACAGAAGAAAAATCCTATTACCAGCAGTATCAACACCCATTCGCCCAGCGCGTCCAATCATCTGTCTATACTGTAAAATATCAATAGGAAATCCATGACAAGCTGGTGATCTTACAATTACTCTACGTGCAGGTAAATTTACTCCGGAAGACAATGTTGATGTAGCTACTAAAACTCGCACAACATTTTGTTTGAATGCACCTTCAATTATATCTCTTTCATCCATTGTAAGACCTTAATTTAATTAAATAATAAATTTTATTATTCAGAGTATTTTTATATATTATGTAATTATGACCTCATGTACACTTTTTTTAAGTTTTATTTTTGTAAAATGCATGTTAATGTTATACAGAAAATATTTTTATTTTAGGATTAACCAAAGAATTTTTTATTTAACAAAGTCTAATAGTGATTTAAATTTTAGCTTATTGTAAATGGTGATCAAGTATATAATCTGGAGTTATACAAAAATAAACTTTTCCATATTCATAACATATTTTATTTAGAAATAAATGATACTTCCATTAATACAATTAATAAGTTCATTTTTGAAAGATAATTTTAAAGTGATACACAATCAAATATGATCTTTATTGTCATTTGCAAAATACATAATTTGACCTTTTTCATTTGTTTTTAATAATATCTTGTTTTTTTTATCTTTCAAGAAATCATTTTTTTTATAACACTATTCAATTGATTTAAAATCCATAAGTTTTCTTATGTAACAAGTTTGATCTAAGTCATCATTAAAAGTATAAAAAAAAAATAGAACACAGTTCAAATGATTAACCTAACCTGCATGATGAAATGCAACACCAAAGGATATAGTTTTATTTAATTCTGGTTCAAGACCAACAGGGCATCTCCGTAGTTGTTCCAAAACATCTCCTAAGCTCTCACCATTTAATTGATTTCTTAAAGCCATACCAGTTTTAGATTTGGTATCCCCACCTGAAATGGTTATAAAATACACATATATATTTTCTAGCTACCATAATATGAAAATCTTATGCTAACCAAGCCGTTTGATTTCTGAAGCAATTTCAATTGCTAATGATTCACACCATTTTTTAGTAAAACAAAATATCAGTATAGAGTATCCTTGAAGAATAGTATCAATACTTAAGTGTGTTACATTGTCTGGATCATTCTAAAAATATTTTCAATTTTTACTGAACGTTTAATAATATTATTTTAAAATCTATATTTTAATAAATAATTTAATAGCATGCAACTCCTTAATGTTTAATGCATTTTAGGGGAAATTAGTGTTTTTTGACAAGCAAAAATTGTGCTTCACATCAGATTAAAAAAATTTATTTTTTGGTCCGTGATAAATACTGTGTATATCACTAAAATAATATATTAAAAATAATAATACAGATATCTGATTAATTAAATCAAATTAAATTTATTGTGTTGACCACAACGTTTAACTTTAAAGTAGGCATAACTTCATTTTCTAAATAATCATATGCCAAAAATATTTTATCATAATAAAAACTAAGTATTATTGAAATCTTATTACCCAACGAACTAATTTAATAGTTATGCCAGGTGTGTGTCCATGATTTATTATTTCTAATAAGGTATTCTTATTGTGAGTACCTACTGGGACCAAAAAGTATTTATTTGATTTTTCTTTCCACTCCGTCAAATATCCACTACCCTCTACAGCATAGGTTCTCAAACTTATTTCATCTACTGCCCACTTTGAGCATCAAAAATTTTTTAGGCCCCCCTCAAAAAAAAAAAAAATTTAACTTATCATATATAATTAACTTATTATATATATATATATATAACAAGCAACCGATTTCTTTTTTTTGTTACTAGTGTTGTTACGGCACTGAATCCACGTTCAGACAAATATGATGAAGGGAATGGTATCAGAAATCGTTGAACAATTGACCATAAACTAGGGTAGAGTTGCATGATTGGCTTTTGCAGCCAAAATTCTTGATAGCCATTCTTGAATTTAAATTTGATTTCTTCATTCGTGGTCAATTCTAAAAGTTGTTCTTCTATCTGGGATGATTCTGCTGTGTTGACATTTGAAAATGGATCTAATACCCAGTTGGGTATATCCATGTTTAAAATGTCCTGGAATCGTTCTTTGAAATCACTGTGTAAGTTCTCCAAGTGTTGGCAGTAAACAACCAAGTCGTCATTGATAAAAGGAGCTGCTGATAAATTAGGAAAGTTATTAAATTCACGTCTACCAATATTTCTCTTGTAGAATAGCAGTTTAGCAACAAATGTAGCAATGACAGTTTTTGTTTTAATTAAGTTCAAGTCGTCACCTTGAAGTTGGAGATTTACATCATTAAATAACTTATAGAGATCTGTCAAGTACGCAATATCATTCTTTGAAGTGATGAGGTTATCGTGAAGTCCTGTTTCTTTGTTTTTCAGGAACTCTATCACAGAGTCAAACAAATTATAAAACCGAGTCAGACAAGTACCTTTTGAGAGCCAGCGTACTT